AATCTGACCAACACTTATATAGTGCCGTCTCACTGATAATCTGACCAACACCTATATAATGCAGTCTCACTGATAATCTGACCAACACCTAAATAGTGCAGTCTCACTGATAATCTGACCAACGCCTATATAGTGCAGTCTTACTGATAATCTGACCAAAAATTATATAGTGCAGTCTCACTGATAATCTGACCTACACTTATATAGTGCAGTCTCACTGATAATCTGATCAACACCTATATAGCGCAGTCTCACTGATAATCTGACCAACACCTATATCGGGCAGTCTCACTGATAATCTAACCAACACCTATATAGTGCAGTCTTACTGATAATCTGACCAACACCTATATAGTGCGGTCTCACTGATAATCTGACCAACACCTATATGGTGCAGTCTCACTGATAATCTGACCAACACCTATAAAGTGCAGTCTCACAGATAATCTGACCAACACCTATATATAGTGCAGTCTTACTGATAATCTGACCAAAAATTATATAGTGCAGTCTCACTGATAATCTGACCACCACCTATATAGTGCAGTCTTACTGATAATCTGACCAAAAATTATATAGTGCAGTCTCACTGATAATCTGACCACCACCTATATAGTGCAGTCTTACTGATAATCTGACCAAAAATTATATAGTGCAGTCTCACTGATAATCTGACCACCACCTATATAGTGCAGTCTTACTGATAATCTGACCAACACTTATACAGTGCAGTCTCACTGATAATCTGACCAACACATATATAGTGCAGTCTCACTGATAATCTGACCTACACTTATATAGTGCAGTCTCACTGATAATCTGATCAACACCTATACAGTGCAGTCTCACTGATAATCTGACCAACACCTATATAGTGCAGTTTCACTGATAATCTGATCAACACCTATATAGTGCAGTCTCACTGTTAATCTGACCAACACCTATATAGTGCAGTCTCACTGATAATCTGACCATGGTAATCATTGTAGTCAAGGAGATGCACAAAATAGTTTTCACTAGATTTTATATACATAACAGATGAAGTGGAAAGAACCAACAGTTGCTAATGAAGCAGATTCATTTTTACATTCACTATAAAAAGTCATACAGAAAATGCAGTTTTCCATCCTGAATCTGTGAGGTTGTCCGCGTTTCTTGTTTGCTTTAAATCAAATTCTAAAACTGAATTTTCTTCCATGTTTTGTTAGTGTATTATTATTAACAACTATTTTTTTTTTCTTTTTTTTTCTGGTTTTGTTTAACCATTGATTTTGATCTATATATCTTGCTTACTAATATATTATTTATATACTGTACATGTCCTGTACATTATTTATATACTGTACATGTCCTGTACCTCACAACATGTGATTGTTTCTGGTTGATTGGTGGTATCCTCTGCTCTACACATATCAGCTAAATAAGTCCAGCATTAATGTTGAATTCAAGATCATTTCATGGTTTGAAAAACTAAAAAATGCAAGTATGCTATAGGAGTCATATTATAAAATTGGAATAACGACTGTATTTTTATAATTAGCTAAATATGATGCATGCATGTTCTCTTTAACTGGCTGCTTACTTCAGGATTAAGTTTTAAGCCTCTCATTAGCTGAAGTATATTTTACATGTATACAATATGTGACCTCTGACCTATAAAAAGCATCATCTAATAATTTCCTTGATCATATGGACGATGTGAATCCTAAGGCAGTGGTGATTTATTTAAGCATGGCCTAAGGTGTGGTTTATACACAAATCAAAATGGTAATTTATGCAAATGAGCCAATTATGATGTACACAATATTTGGAGAGATTTCGCTTATTACACTTTCAGATTTATCTGCTATATTTGAATGCTGTTGAAAGTTAAACAGATTTTTAAAAGTCTTGTATCCATTAAATAACCATATTTCTTAGCTTCTTCGGGGTCTTTAGGAGTCTTGTTCGTTCTCTGAGTTTTCCAGAGTCGAGCAACTTCTCCTGGTGTCTTCGGAGTCTAGCTGAGTTTTAAGTAATATTTTACTCTTACAGCTTTTCCAGGAAATTTCAGAGTCTAGTTGCTTCTCTAGAGTTCCTTCAGAGTCTAGTCTCTTCTCTAGAGTTCTTTCAGAGTCTAGTCTTTTCTCTAGAGTTCCTTCAGAGTCGAGTCTCTTTTCTAGAGTTCCTTCAGAGTCTATAGTCTCTTCTCTAGAGTTCCTTCAGAGCCTAGTCGCTTCTTTCAAGTTCCTTCAGAGTCGAGTCGCTTCTCTAGAGTTCCCGCAGAGTCGAGTCTCTTCTCTAGAGTTCCTTCAGAGTCTATAGTCTCTTCTCTAGAGTTCCTTCAGAGCCTAGTCGCTTCTTTAAAGTTCCTTCAGAGTCGAGTCGCTTCTCTAGAGTTCCCGCAGAGTCGAGTCTCTTCTCTAGAGTTCCTTCAGAGTCTAGTCTCTTCTCTAGAGTTCCTTCAGAGCCTAGTCGCTTCTTTAAAGTTCCTTCAGAGTCGAGTCGCTTCTCTTGAGTTCCCTCAGAGTCGAGTCTCTTCTCTAGAGTTCCTTCAGAGTCTAGTTGCTTCTCTAGAGTTCCTTCCGAGTCTAGTCACTTCTCTAGAGCACTTTAAGAGCCTAGTTGCTTCTCTAGAGTTCCTTCAGAGTCTAGTCTCTTCTCTAGAGTTCCTTCAGAGCCTAGTCGCTTCTTTCAAGTTCCTTCAGAGTCGAGTCGCTTCTCTAGAGTTCCCGCAGAGTCGAGTCTCTTCTCTAGAGTTCCTTCAGAGTCTAGTCTCTTCTCTAGAGTTCCTTCAGAGCCTAGTCGCTTCTTTAAAGTTCCTTCAGAGTCGAGTCGCTTCTCTTGAGTTCCCTCAGAGTCGAGTCTCTTCTCTAGAGTTCCTTCAGAGTCTAGTTGCTTCTCTAGAGTTCCTTCCGAGTCTAGTCACTTCTCTAGAGCACTTTAAGAGCCTAGTTGCTTCTCTAGAGTTCCTTCAGAGTCTAGTCTCTTCTCTAGAGTTCCTTCAGAGCCTAGTCGCTTCTTTCAAGTTCCTTCAGAGTCGAGTCGCTTCTCTAGAGTTCCCGCAGAGTCGAGTCTCTTCTCTAGAGTTCCTTCAGAGTCTAGTCTCTTCTCTAGAGTTCCTTCAGAGCCTAGTCGCTTCTTTAAAGTTCCTTCAGAGTCGAGTCGCTTCTCTTGAGTTCCCTCAGAGTCGAGTCTCTTCTCTAGAGTTCCTTCAGAGTCTAGTCGCTTCTCTAGAGTTCCTTCCGAGTCTAGTCACTTCTCTAGAGCTCTTTAAGAGCCTAGTCTCTTCTCTAGAGTTCCTTCAGAGTCTAGTCTCTTCTCTAGAGTTTCTTCAGAGCCTAGTCTCTTCTCTAAAGTTCCTTCAGAGCCTAGTCGCTTCTCTATAGTTCCTTCAGAGTCTAGTCGCTGCTCTAGAGTTCCTTCAGAGTCTAGTCTCTTCTCTAGAGTTCCTTCAGAGTCTAGTCTCTTCTCTAGAGTTTCTTCAGAGCCTAGTCTCTTCTCTAAAGTTCCTTCAGAGCCTAGTCGCTTCTCTATAGTTCCTTCAGAGTCTAGTCGCTGCTCTAGAGTTCCTTCAGAGTCTAGTCTCTTCTCTAGAGTTCCTTCAGAGTCTAGTCTCTTCTTTAGAGTTTCTTCAGAGCCTAGTCTCTTCTCTAAAGTTCCTTCAGAGCCTAGTCGCTTCTCTAGAGTTCCTTCAGTCGAATCTCTTCTCTAGAGTTCCTTCAGAGTCTAGTTGCTTCTCTAGAGTTTCTTTAGAGTCTAGTCACTTCTCCAGAGTTCCTTCAGAGTCTAATCTCTTCTCTATAGTTCCTTCATAGTCTAGTTGCTTCTCTAGAGTTCCTTTAGAGTCTAGTCACTTCTCTAGAGTTCCTTCAGAGTCTAATCTCTTCTCTATAGTTCCTTCATAGTCTAGTCGCTTCTCTATAGTTCGTTCATAGTCTAGTCTCTTCTCTAGAGTTCCTTCAGAGTCTAGTCTCTTCTCTAAAGTTCTTTCAGAGCCTGGTCGCTTCTCTAGAGTTCCCGCAGAGTCGAGTCGCTTCTTTCAAGTTCCTTCAGAGTCTAGTCGCTTCTCTATAGTTCCTTCATAGTCTAGTTGCTTCTCTAGAGTTCCTTCAGAGTCTAGTTGCTTCTCTAGAGTTCCTTCAGAGTCTAGTCTCTTCTCTAAAGTTCTTTCAGAGCCTGGTCGCTTCTCTAGAGTTCCCGCAGAGTCGAGTCGCTTCTTTCAAGTTCCTTCAGAGTCTAGTCGCTTCTCTATAGTTCCTTCATAGTCTAGTTGCTTCTCTAGAGTTCCTTCAGAGTCTAGTTGCTTCTCTAGAGTTCCTTCAGAGTCTAGTCTCTTCTCTAAAGTTCTTTCAGAGCCTGGTCGCTTCTCTAGAGTTCCTTCAGAGTCCAGTCGCTTCTCTAGAGTTCCTTCAGTCTAGTCGCTTCTCTATAGTTCCTTCATAGTCTATTCGCTTCTCTAGAGTTCCTTCATAGTCTAGTTGCTTCTCTAGAGTTCCTTCAGAGTCTAGTAACTTCTTTTGCTTTTTTGGAGTCTAGCTGTTTTCCATTTCCAAGCCTCTCCGCAACATCTCAGAGTCTAGCTTACTTAAAATTTCTTTTTAAGAATTTATGTGTTAGGTACAATGTAGCTTTTTCTGTGAGTGAGTAAACCCTGATATGCCAAAATGTAGTAATTATAATGTGTATGCTTTTAAGATGTACAAGTGTTCTCCCAGTAGCTTGGTTTAAATTTTGTCTCAAGTAATAGATAGGTTGACTGTTTCCTTGCGTTTAGTTTTATATAAATAGAAAAACTATGGATGCTGTAGTTTCCACATCAAAAAGAAACTGTTGCCGTATCACTGGTCATTATTTGAATTTTAGTAATTTGAGTTCTTTTATTTTCAAGTTTTTGAGTGTAAACAAAAATTAATGATTGTGAACCACTGTTACAGTGGTGATTTCACTGATGGAGTCTGACTTGGTTTGACAAAGGAACATAAACATTTATTATATATGTGGTAATTTTCTGTTCCCAGAGCTTGTTTGCCAGGAACTTCTACAACTTCAAGTACATCGCCCTGGCTCTGGCATTCGGTATCAACGTCATGCTGCTGTCCTACAAGGTAAGGTACACTTTTATGTTGATAAACCAAACTCAGTGTTGTAAAATCGAAAAATATGATTAAAGTAATAAACAATGCTGGTACAATATAATCACAATGTATAGTGTAAGTCTGTGTTGTGGGTAATCATGTAAAGCTTATGTGCATACAAAGTGTCGAAGTAACCTTACTAGCTTCTGTGGTAAAGTTCCCTTCAGTTCCACATTAAAGTCCCCTTTAGTTCCATGGTAAAGTTCCCTTTAGTTCCGTGGTAAAGTTTCCCTTAGTTTCGCGGTAAGGTTCCCTTTAACTCCGCGGTAAGGTTCCCTATAGCTCGGCAGTAAAGCATCCGTCTAGAGAATTGTTGGTGGTTCCATCCGCAGTGAACACACACTTGTCACTTCTTCCTTCCATTACAATATTACCAATGATCAGGTTAAAATCTACATATGTTACTACAGGTACAAAGACTACCTCATGAGGAGACCGGTGACTTGGATGAAGCCTTGAATGGAACAGAACCTGAGGACGATGGTGATGAGTATATATCCATGAAAGGGGAGGTAAACTGGAGGGAACCTCTGATGTTTGGTGTGGCCTTGTTCCACACGCTTACATCCTTCTCCATGCTCATAGCCTACTACTGTCTCAAAGTGCCACTAGTCATCTTCAAGCGTGAGAAGGATATCGCCAGGAATCTGGAGTTCGAGGGGATGTGGATTGCCGAGCAGCCAGGTGATGACGACATCAAGGGACATTGGGACAAACTAGTTCTCAGCACTGCCTCCTTCCCTGAGAGTTACTGGGACAAGTTTGTCAAGAAGAAGGTAAATGTTTCTCTCTAGGTCAGTGTTGTAGTGTTAAAGAAAATGGGGTTTTACAGTAAGCATGCACACATTTTTCAAAACCACAATTTCTTGTTTGGTAACTTGTGTCTGTAAGATTGTTTATTTTTTAAAACAGCTTAGTTGGTGGTGCAATGTTTGAAAATTAAATGTCTCTCTGGTCAGGCTCAGATGCATGGTTATATTCAACTGTAACTCCAAAAGTATAATTGTACTTACAGATGTGACACTGTACTTACAAGTGTGTAACTGTACTTACAGGTGTGTAACTGTACTTACAGGTGTGTAATTGTATGTACAGGTGTGTAACTGTAATTACAGGTGTGTAATTGTACGTACAGGTGTGTAACTGTAATTACAGGTGTGTAACTGTACTTACAGGTGTGTAACTGTACTAACAGGTATGTAACTGTACTTACAGGTGTGTAATTGTACGTACAGGTGTGTAACTGTAATTACAGATGTGTAACTGTGCTTACAGGTGTGTAATTGCACGTGCAGGTGTGTAACTGTAACTACAGGTGTGTAATTGTCCGTACAGGTGTGTAACTGTACTTACATATGTGTAATTGTACTTGCAGGTGTGTAACTGTAACTACAGGTGTGTAATTGTATGTACAGGTGTGTAACTGTACGTACAGGTGTGCAACTGTAATTACAGTTGCACACCTGTACGTACGATTACACACCTGTAAATACAGTTACACACCTGTAATTACAGTTGTGTTACCTGTAACTGTACTTACAGGTGTGTAACTGTAATTACAGGTGTGTAACTGTACTTACATATGTGTAATTGTACTTACAGGTGTGTAACTGTAATTACAGGTGTTTAACTGTACTTACAGATTTGTTTAACTGTAATTGCATTGTTATATTTAATTACAGGTGCGGGCCCGTTATGCTGACCAGTACGATTATGAGGCAATTAGTAATCTCTTGGGAATGGATAAGGGTGACTCAATCAAAATTGGAGAACAACGAAGCTCAAGTATACTCCCAGCTTTGTAAGTATGATAAACATTGTAATTAGTATGTAGTATCCTGTGTAGTATCCTCTTAAATATGATGAGGACAAGTGGATAGGACCATGTCTGCTTTGTAAAGTGAAATGAGAATCATGATGATAAGTGAATAGGACCCAGCTGTCCGCTTTGTAAAGTATAATGAGAATCATGATGATAAGTGGATTGGACCATGTCTGCTTTGTAAAGTGTAATGAGAATCATGATGATAAGTGAATAGGACCCAGCTGTCCGCTTTGTAAAGTATAATGAGAATCATGATGATAAGTGGATAGGACCCTGGCCGCTTTGTAAAGTATAATGAGAATCATGATGATAAGTGGATAGAACCCTGTCTGCTTTGTAAAGTGTAATGATAATCATGGTGATAAGTGGATAGGACCCTGTCCGCTTTGTAAAGTGTAATGAGAATTATGGTGATAAGTGGATAGGACCATGTCTGCTTTGTAAAGTGTAATGAGAATCATGGTGATGTGGATAGGACCCTGTCCGCTTTGTAAAGTGTAATGAGAATTATGGTGATAAGTGGATAGGACCATGTCTGCTTTGTAAAGTATAATGAGAATTATGGTGATAAGTGGATAGGACCCTGTCCGCTTTGTTAATTATAATGAGAATCATGATGATAAGTGGATAGGACCCTGTAAAGTATATTATATAAATCATAAATTGTCCACATTTGTAATTATTTTATTCTTAAAAATATATATATATATTGCTAGCAAAATATGTTTTACAATATCACATCAGTTATTAGGCAAGTGTTTCTAGATAAGGGTATTTGTAAAACAGGTTTAGCAATCCTATAGTTTGGAGTATTTGTTTTAAAGATGTGTAAAAATTATAAACTGCATCCTACTTAAGTCCTGAACTTCCCACATACTGCATTATTTCAGCCTACGCAGTCTTGACTGGCAGTACCAGATTTGGAAGTGGGGTGTCATTTTCACTGACAATGTAAGTCCACTTTGTAACCATGATCATGATAATGATTGAAATACTATCAATATATTACTGATTATATCAAGTATCCATTTCCCCCACTATTTTATATGTAAAGTTGGGTTTGCAATGTAGAGACTATACAAACTGTAAGAACAGAACCAGATTTATTAAAGCTTTTGAAACTTAAGCTAACAAGTCTTTGGATACTAATTCAAAATGTTTTAAGCAAGATGTAAAATTCAAGCTTTATCCACTAGAAACATGCTGTGATTAATTAAAATGTGTGATACCGAATCTGATAAGGGAAAATACAATGTCCATGTAGATTCTATAAATGGTAGCGATGTGACATGTATTTCTATGAGTGGTGTGAGATGTGTTGGTACAATGTTTCAGTCTTTCCTGTACCTGATGTGGTACTTCATCTTCTCCGTCCTCGGCAACTTCAACAATTTCTTCTTCGCTGCTCACTTGTTGGATGTTGCCATTGGTTTTAAAACATTGAGAACCATCTTGCAATCTGTCACACACAATGGAAAACAGGTCAGTATCGTCAGATTATGTATATATAGATATAGCATATGTGTACTTTAATATAGCCTAGCTGTTATAGAGGGGTAAAGTCAGGGAAAGGCAGTCAAATGATTACAGCACTGATTTCTGAATGTGATTGTGTATTTTATACATCAGAAGGGGCTAACTATTTTTTTAAATTAATTTTCATTATAAAAAAGTGCTCAAAAAGGAGCAGTTTTGATGCTGAGTTATATCACTGTCAATAAAACAGTAGTAAAATATATCCTGTACTTTAAATTGTACTTATACATAGGAGGCATGGTAGTCTAGTGTTAGAAGACTGGCTTGTGACCAAAGGGTCGTCGGTTCGAGTCACATCACGGCACGCATGTGATAAAGCAGTATATAAGAACCTCAAATTATTATTATTATTATATTATTATAATGTGTTAAAATGGTTGAAAAATATACATCACTATTCTGATATTCCGTCTTTGCGTATTGCAGAGTTATCTTCTCTTGTGAGCAGGTATTGATTGTTACGTCATTTGTTTGTGAGAGTAACGTTATCAATTTTTGAGAAAACGACGTAATTTTCTCACACAAACCAATGACGTAACAATCAAAAGCCTGCTCACAAGAGAAGATAACTCTGCAATACGTAAAGACGGAATACCCGGTACTGGGTGTAAACAAATAAAATGATATGGAGAATTTACAATTAAAAATTGACCAAATTATAAGTAAAATGACATTGACATTTATACTGGTAAATAAGTATTGATGTTTTTGTTTGTTTCAGCTCGTGTTGACGGTAATGTTGACAAGCGTGATTGTGTACATCTACACTGTGATAGCCTTCAACTTCTTCCGTAAATTCTACGTGAAGGAGGAGGACGGCACTATAGACTACAAGTGTCATGACATGGCCACCGTGAGTTCATTGTCTTAAAATTGTGTTATATTAAGTCATGTAGTTTTGTTTGGATTTAAGTTTGTATGGGTTTAAGTTCATATGGGTTTAAGTTAAGTTTGTATGGGTTTAAGTTTGTTTGGATTTAAGGCTGTTTGGATTTAAGTTTGTATGGGTTAAAGTTTGTTTGGATTTAAATTTGTTTGGATTTAAGTTTGTATGGGTTAAAGTTTGTTTGTATTTAAGTTTGTTTGGATTTAAGTTTTTATGGTTTTCAGTTTGTTTGGATTTAAGTTTGTATGGGTTTAAGTTTGTTTGGATTTAAGTTTGTATGGGTTTAAGTTTGTTTGGATTTAAGTTTGTTTGGATTTAAGTTTGTATGGGTTTAAGTTTGTTTGGATTTAAGTTTGTTTGGATTTAAGTTTGT